TCCGCTCCGGCCGAATCGAGGGTTTCGGCACCTTCACCGGCTCCGACGGCGACACGTACCGCGGATCCTGGAGCAACGATCGAAAACACGGGTACGGATCCAAATCCTACGCCAACGGCGATTTCTATGAGGGAACTTGGAAGAGAAATCTGCAGGACGGCCACGGCCGCTACATTTGGAGGAATGGGAATCAGTACATTGGAGAGTGGAAGGGCGGGGTTATCAGCGGACGAGGGGTTTTGATCTGGGCCAATGGGAATCGATACGATGGGCAGTGGGAGAACGGAGTTCCAAAGGGAAATGGGGTTTTTACTTGGCCCGACGGGAGCTGCTATATTGGAGCTGGAGCAAGCAGGCTATTGAATGGGACTTTTTTTTCGCCGCCAACGGCGGCTGCGGGGGTGAGGAAGAGGTCGTGGCGGTTGACGGGAGAATGAATATTCCCCGAGGATTAATGTATTTGGAGAGTCTGATGGTGAGCTGGATAACACTTCGATATTTGTGATGCAATTGGAGGTTTATAAAGACGGGAGCGTGATGGAGTTCGGAAAGGAGGAGGTGATTGAAGATGGTGAGGAGCGCGACAGCCGCATGTTTTCAATGTGGGGAGAGGCGAAGAACGCGGCGGCTGGACGGATATCGAAAGGGCACAAGAATTATAGACCATCATGCTGAATCTTCAGCTGGGCATAAGGTGTTTTATTGTCTTGCCATTGTGAGAGGAAATCGCATTCCCCCCGCCCCCCACCACCCCCCGCCCCCCCCTTTTGGTGTTTTTACTGAATTCTGGTTTATTTGGGTTTTCAAGGTACTCTGTTGGCAAACAGGCTTCGACCCAGATGAGAGAATTGAGACCTGGGGACTTTGATCCTAGAGAAAAGTTTTGGACAAGGTTTCCTCCTGAGGGGTCAAAGATTACCCCTCCTCATCAATCGGTGGAGTTTCGCTGGAAGGACTATTGTCCTATGGTATTTAGGTACATTTTTAACTGGTTTTGGTTTGATTTTATAATGATTATACTATGTTTTTGGTATTGATTTTATTGGAATTGTTATTAGCCATTTGAGGAAATTGTTTGCTGTGGATCCGGCCGATTACATGATGGCCATTTGTGGGAATGATGCTTTGAGAGAGTAAAGACGGTGAAGAAATCAGAAGTCAAGGTTAGATAGCTATTTTCCAGTCTTAAGACTTCAAGTGAGGTTTTAATGAAAAGGATAGCTTTCACATTGGTAATTATGTTTTAATGAAAAGGATAGCCTATGGGTCTATGATATAATTCAGCGCCTTGAAGTGCCCATGAGATTATTAATGCACTGTTCATTTACTATATATATGCTTTTATCAGAGAGCAGTAATTATGAATGGGTGATGGGGAGATGGGGATCCAACCAAGGACCAAGATAGATATGTTTTGCTGGCATGATCATTAGGATCGTGAACAATGCAAGTTAATTTATTATTAATTTTGCTGAGTCATGTTAACATACGAACTCATCTTCAAATGGGTCTAATCATTATGTTTCATAATCTCTTTTAGTTAAAAATTTTATTTTACATGGTATTACGTTGTTAAAATTAAATTACTCTTACAACCGAAGGACTTGGAGATTTTGTCCCGACTGATACTTACTGCATGCACTTAAGTTTGCATTATGGCACTCATTTGCTTCATAATTTATTTCAGTTACTTATTAGAATGCTACCAAGTTACTACCAACATGTTTGCCGATACGAGAACACATTAGTCACAAAGTTTTAGAATGCTACCAAGTTACTACCAACATGTTTGCCGATACGAGAACACATTAGTCACAAAGTTCTTCGGCGTGCATTGTGTGAAGCCTATTGGTGGCTGTTTGCCGATACGAGAACACATTAGTCACAAAGTTCTTCGGCGTGCATTGTGTGAAGCCTATTGGTGGCCAGAAGGTATACAATATCTTAATTTTTTTTGTACAACTATAATATCAACTCTTGATATGTTATGCTGATCCCTAATTGTTTTTTGGAACTCAGGTTCGTTTTATTGTGATGGGCAATTTGTTTTGCTCAGAGCATCGGATCCATAGGCGATTTGACCTCAAAGGTTCATCCCATGGCCGGACAACTGACAAGGCTGAAGAAGATATTGATGAGACCACTACTCTCAAGGATCTAGACCTCAACTTTGTGTTTCGCCTACAGAAATCTTGGTTCATGGAGCTCCTCAGGTACTTTAATTTATTTTACTATATGATCTTATGTTTTCTGGTTGGTACTTTTCTTGTTTCTGATCTCGTGTACAATGTATTTAAATTCAGACAAATAGATCGAGATTGTGAGTTTCTGGAAGCAGAAGGGATCATGGACTATAGTCTGTTGGTGGGGCTTCATTTCCGTGATGACATTTTGTCATCTAAGATGGGATTATCATCCCCAAGTAAGTTTGTTCTGCATGCAACTTGGAAGATAGGGATCCCTCAAATTTGATCTAATCCTTTCACTATGTTTTGAATCAGAAATTTTGGGTAGGAGAGATTTGTATCAAGGTGCAGGGAGAGATTGGCATCAAGGTGCAGGGCTTATGTCCGAGTTTCGATATTCAGAATCAGATTTGCAGGATATGGACAAGATTCTAGATTTTCGGTATGTCAAGGCTTTTTCCATTCCTTAAAACATTTAAAGTGGTTAGTTAGGCTTTGTGGGGTTCATTCGTGTGCTAGTAAAACAAGTTCAAAATACAGCTAGATATGCTACATCATAAATGAAAGCAACTGTATGATGTGATGATTAGAAATTTCAAAAAAAAAAGTATTTCTTTTGCATCATGACAGTAGTGACACTTTTTTAATGACTTCCTGATGTTCATCTAGTATTCTTATACATTCAGCTTCTAGGAGTATTTATGTTTGAACCGATTATTTTTGTAGGCCATCCTTACCACTCTATTTTAGGATGCACTGAACCAAACTTGGTCTAAATGGATGTAGTAGCCAAAAAATTAAGAGGAAAATATACATTAAGCACAGTCATGTGATTAAATTATGTAAGTAAATATAGTGTGACAAGCCCACTGCGAGTGATCTGAATGGTTGGAAGGTTCCGATATGTCTGCCACGGTCTTGGGTCCTATTCCGGGCTGAGTTATCAAAAATATACATAGGCTGTGTGATTCTTAATCTTCTGTTGTGTATCATGCTAAAATTCACGGTCAGTTTGTATAGAACCCTGGAATTTTACCTATTTCCCTAAAGCGAGTAGTGATAGGATTTCACAAGGGAGACACCATAATTAATTGGTGGCTTCTCCATTGTCTCTTTTGGTCCCCATATCACTATATCATTCTTAAGCATAATGATCCACTTATCATGATTATGTAACTAAATTGCCTTCAATTTGGCTAACACAAGATATGCTTCATCATCCAGGGCCCTATTTGTTTGCTCCAACCGCCAATTGCCAACTACCAACCTTAAAATACAACCATCGTTTCTTAAGTATTTCTTTGATGTAATGATTAATGTTCATAATCTACCCCACTTAAAGCTTTTAATAAACTCACACTCTTTCATTAATCAGAAAACAAGCTGACGCTGTTGGGTGCAAATATGCCCGCAAGGGCGGAGCGTGTGTCAAGAAATAGCAACTTCGATGCATTTCCATTGATATTCGGAGAAGGAGGGTTATTAATGCCCGCTCAAAGTAGTGAAGTACATGATGTAATTCTCTATTTTGGGATTATTGACATCCTTCAAGACTATGATATCACTAAGAAGCTCGAACATGCTTACAAGTCTTTGCAAGCCGATCCTACCTCCATTTCAGCAGTAGATCCAAAGCTTTATTCAAAGAGGTTTCGAGATTTTATTCGCAAAATTTTTGTCGAAGACAATGATTGATGAATTATCACTAAACCTTCGAAGGTAAAATCAATATATTTCCCCTAATTGTGGAATTTGGATATATATAGCTCTTGGACACAGCCTGAGAGCTTAGAGCTCAGCCATGGGGATATGAGTGGTGGACGAGGCTGAATTTTGAAAGGTCAGCCATTGAGACTGGGGGGATATTGTTGTTGTACATGTTAAATTGTGGAGGGAAATTGTCAATTTTTTCCTTTTTCCTTTTTAAGGCGAGAAGCAAGATAGTGAGAGGCAATAGGATTTTTGCTTCCTGAAAAAGAAAGGGATTCTTATTATTTTTTTTTCCTTCAAGTTGGGTTTTTGTAATAAGCCATGTACAGATAGAGTAATGAATATTGGAGAGTGATGTATATCTTTGGAGTGCAAATTCCATTCCATTGTATTCAAATGTGGTCCCTTGGCCTTCTATCTTTTCCTTTTGTTTACGTTGTGTATTGCTATCAGCTTCAAGCTTGTGGGTTTGCCTTGTGAAGAAAAGTATAAGAGAGGGAGGGGCTTAGGAGCATCAAAAGGAGAGTAAAGTGTAGTAAGCCGTGATCGTCTCTGTATTGTTCTCTGTTATTAATAACCTTGCTCCTCTCTTTTTCTTTTTATTTCCTTTGCTTCTTAATTTTTTATCTCATCCACCTTCCCTTTTGCTTTCTCTGCATTGACGTAAGACCAGACCAAGGGGTAAGATTGGAATTTGGATTGAGGGGTGGGTGGATGAGCGGGTATATGAGCTCATTGGGGAATGCACCACGTTGGTCTCTCTCTCTCTCTCTCTCTCTCTCTCTCTCTCTCTCTCTTGTTAACGCATTATCCTATGAGGTCAAAGTCTGAGTCAGGACCAACACTCTTTAAAGCTTACAGAGGTTCTCTTTACACTTTCCATGCTTCTCTTCTGAAGTGAATTATTACAGAGGGAGCCACCACAGCTATCAAAAATCACACAGAGAGAGAGAGAGAGAGAGAGCTTCCGTCTTGGTTTCCCTGATGTCCCGATATTCTCCTCAGAATAAAATAGAAAACACATTTTGCTACATTTATGATTTATCTATGTTGAGTTCGTAATTTGCTTCTTTGCTTACTGTTATTCAAAATGTTTGGCCTTCTATAGTTCAATTCTTGTCCTACGTCCTCATCTACAGTGATAAATGATGAGTATAACCCAAATTCCCTTGGTGTTAAGAAGATAGCAAAAAAAAACATTAGTATGAGGCGCAAATTCTGACATGTCGGTAATTTAGCAAGTGCACATAGAGAAGCTTGAGGTCGTCTCCAACGGAGCTGCAATTTAACGCTAAAACCTATTTTAGCACAAAAAACTCCCTCTAACCGATTGCTAAATCCCGCGTTAAATTGATGAGGTGCTGCAGTGTTGCACCAGAAATTACGCAGCACTATGGCTTTAGAGTTTTTTTTGTTTTTCCGATTTTACCCTTAAACTATGTGATAACAAATTAAAAATACATATTATCTTCTATTATATCATTCATTAACCTCAGTTTATTCCATTTAATTTTATTTTTATTTTTAACTTTTATAATGAAATTATAGTATAAAATAATTATTAAAATAAAATTCTTTTTGGTGTAAATTATTAAAATAAAACAATTTGTTAAATATTTTTAATAGATAAAAATATTAAAAGATAAGAATAATAAAAAGAATATTCTTTTTGGTGTAGGGTTGGAGATGGAATAGTAATTTGGTGTAAAAACTACACAAACTTAATGTAAAAACTACATCATTTCGGGTTTTTTGGGTTGAAGATGCTCCGAGGTACGCTCATTTGATGCAATCTTAAGCTTAAGTTCTAGTAAATCAGAATCCAATCTTATAGGATCAGTTTGGCAAAGTGACTTGAAGTCAGGCAAGTTCTAAATCAGTTTCGTTTTGGACTAGGAGCGTGGAACAATTCTGACCGGGTCAAGGGTAAAAATTGGCCAAACAAAACCTGTTTAAATTATAACCCCCCCCCACTGAACTAGTTTAAACACTAAAACTTGCTAATATAAATGTGTAAAGAAACACATACGAGTGATGATTGATCCTACATACAAGCATCAAAACCCTAGCTTATAAACCTCACAAATACAAATTTCTTCTTACTGATATAGCCACTGTCTCATGCTATCGACTGCTACCAATGCTGGCTCCCTAACAAGGAAACCCTATTCAATGGGGGGGGGGGGGGGAGGGGGGTACGCCTCATCATCACGTGCGCTCGCATCGCATTGAAAAGCACCCATCCTTCCGAAAACTGTGGCTAGCTAGACCCAGTTATGCTCTCGATCTTTTAGGTTCAGTTTAGGTCCCAAACAAGAACAAGCTGAAAAAGGACTAGGGACTTATGTCACTATTATCCCCTCGAAGACAAAAACCCACAGCAGTTTTTGCTTTGCCGTACTCTTCTGTTGCAAGTTTAGGCTTCTGCTCTTCTTGGGATTTTAATTCGAAGGGGACCACGTTCAATTTAATGCAACGATGGTAGGGGATTGAGTGCTAGCTGCATAAAGCTGAGGGAGTTAGTTTAATTGATGAAATTTAAACATTTCTCTTATTTCCACCAACCTCGAATTTACTGGATTGGTTACAACTTACAAGGCCGCGGAAATGGAGTATGCTACATTGGTTTAGAGAGAGAGAGCTGCAGCCTTGAGTTTTTGCAATAATATTATTTCTCGTCTTTACTCTTACAAGTTGGCCATGTATCATGAAGAAGTTAGTACTACATGAACTTTTGGCTTAAGAACAAAATAGGCTGATTATTATTCAAAATATTGAACAAAAAAGCTATTAAGACGTAGGAGTGTTGAGACCAATCTTTTCGGATATGACAAGAAAAAAAAAACAATAAAACATGTTATTGTTATAATTACTATTATACTCTTAGGGGGTGTTTGTTTTGTTTTTTTTTTTGGGATATAGGGTAGATTTGAGTTTTTGGGATGTAAAAAGTGGTTTTTTGAGGTTTTAGAAATCCATAAATCAAGTTTGTTTCAAAAAAACTTTTGGGATATCAAATCCCAAAACTATAAAATACTAATATTTTTTAGCATTTATAAAATCCTACTTTTTGTAGTGGATGTGGGCTGGATTTCTGACCTATCGCGTCCAGCTCAGCATTAACTCCGCTCTTTGTTGAAGACGGATCCCATAGCGAAGCATAAAGTCACCGCTTTCGTCTGGGTCCTCTTTTACCCGCCGTCTCCAATTCCGCGCGAAACCCTAGCTCTCGTTCCCGCCGAACCCCAAACCCACGACGCCACCCCTCCCTCCTCTTCACCCCAACTTCAGCGGGCTCCTCCTCCTCCTCAGTGTCCCCAACTCCCAGGCAAACCGCCTTACCTCTTCTCCACTCATCTTGAGGTTTTGGGGGTAACTTGATTTGGGGATTCGAACATTGCTCCGACCAACTGTGTCTCCTCCTCGGCAGGTAAAACTCGTTGCCTTCCTCCATAAATTAGGGTTTCTTTGTAAAATTGATGGATTTGGTTTTGTTATTGGGGTGTTCTAGCTGAAATTAATATTTGGTAAGGCATATGCAATTGATTTAGTTTGATCAAGTTTATTTGGCACAATTATTAGACTGAAATTTTCGGATCTAATTTTCAGTCATGACAGTGCTTAAGTCACAATTAAATCAGTTAGTTATTTGGGCGGTGTAAAAAAATTTGTGTTCAGAGACCTTATTGTCAATATCATGATTAGCTTGATGGTAAAGTTGTGCTCAAGTTCAAACCCTTCTGTAATTAGTTACGACCTGCTGTAGGTCTTGTGCTCAAGTTCAAACCTTTCTGTAATTAGTTATGACCTGTTGTAGGTCCGATAACGATCTTGCCTTGATTGTGCTGATTAATATTGCTTTCTTCACTTTGATCAATAAATTGGTATTATCTCAACCAAGGGTATTCGTATGATTGTTTTGTGCTTGGATAGTATTGTGACATTGTTAGCCCATTACTGCTTCTTTGTTTGCCCTTAGGTGATGGCCTTCTGGTTTTCTTTATAAAAAAGAAAAGAAAAAGAAAAACAACTAATGCTTACATACAAATTAATAGATTGTTTTTGTGCTTTTTTCAATTTTGTGACTTCGTGAGTTTTTTTAAAACAATGTAGATGGATGACATTGATGAAGAGATGATAACGAGGATGGCTTCTAATGCTACTATATCCGCGGTGATTTGTGTGTTTACATGTTTGATGAGGATACGTAGTAGACGGAAATCAATCACTTATCAACGTAAGGTGAAAAATAAAGAGAAGATAGATATGAGAGCTAGGCACATAAGTCGTGTGTTTAGTGGCTATAATGAGAGTTGTAGGGCTTATGTTAGAATGAGGCCGCGTGCATTTCATAATCTTGTTAGCATAATGAGATATACCGGCCTACTAAAAGATGGACGGGTTGTTAAAGTAGAAGAACAATTGCTCATGTTCCTTAATATATTAGGCCATAAAACAAAAAATAGAATTGTTAGGTCACATTTCATAAGATCGGGGGAAACCGTTTCAAAATACTTTAACAAGTGCTTGGAAGCCGTTGGTCGTTTAAGGGGGCGGTACATGAAGCAAGCACCAAATGAAGTATCACCAGAGATTGCCACTAACCCGTTATATTATCCTTATTTCAAGGTAATCATTATTATAATATAACTACTCATAATATAACAGTTAATTTTACCTTTCTATTATTAATAACTGTTTAATGTATCATATAGGATTGTATTGGCATGATAGATGGAACTCATATCGACGCCATGCTTCCCGCTAGCCTTGTTGTACGTTTTAGAGGTCGTAAAGGTGTAACTCAAAATGTTCTAGCTGCATGCACTCCCAACAAGTTATTTTCGAATGTAGGAAAATATTATTTGTGTGATGTGGGCTACACTACTATGCATGGCTTTATCTCCCCATATCGAGGAGTGCGGTATCATCTAAATGAGCACAAGGGTAGGCCAATAAATAATAGACAAGAGTTGTTCAATTTAAGACACTCATTCCTAAGGTCTAAAATTGAATCAACATTTGGGGTATTAAAAAATCGTTTCAAAATCCTATCTGCGAAGCATCATCTAAATGAGCACAAGGGTAGGCCAATAAATAATAGACAAGAGTTGTTCAATTTAAGACACTCATTCCTAAGGTCTAAAATTGAATCAACATTTGGGGTATTAAAAAATCGTTTCAAAATCCTATCTGCGAAGCCACATTACCCATTTCCAACTCAAGTTGATATAGTTATTGCATGTACTATACTTCATAACTATATCGCTATAGAAGACCCGGGCGATGAGTTGTTGCATGAGGACAACCATATTGAAGAGGATGGAGATGAAATAGCAAATGAAGGTGAAGAGGGTGTTGTTGACTTTACTCAAACTATGACACAGAGAGAGGAAAGAGATTCAAGAAATGAATGGAGAGC